TTAAAGAAAGAAAAAAGAAAGCTGAGCTAAAGTGGGAAAAACAGAGCAGACATGCAGAGATGAGAGAATGAGCAAAGACTGGGAGCACTGTGGCTCTCCAGCCCGAAGCAGAGCAGAGGTCTCATCCCCTGAGGGTCATGAGCTGTCCCCTCTTCTCCAATACACTCCCTTGGTACCTAAGTGTGTTTGTGCTGGAGGTCTGCTATTTACGGCCCCAAGTCTTAAGTTCACAGCTTCAAAAAAACAAGATTAGGCAGTACCAGGTCAAATACAGCAGTAAACTAGTGGAGGAAGAGCTCTGAAAAGAAGGAGGAGGAGGAAGAAACGTATCGCATTGGGCATCGGGTCATCAATGATATCCAAGAGCACAATTTGATCACAAGGGTGGCCAGGAAGTGCAACAGGCTCTGTTTCAAGCTGTTTGGCAATAAGAATGAGAAAAAATGCTAAACCGAGGGATAAAGCTGGGTATGTAGCTTTTTTTATGTATATAATGGAGAAAGCTGAGCATGTTTAACAGGAAAAAGGAGAAAGTTTCAAAGGGGGATAGAGTGTCCAGGAGAGGAAACGAAGTGCCGGTCCGGAGAGCAGTGTGAGAAGAGATCCAGAGTAGACCAAGGGGTTTGCTTTAAACATGGGATGAGGGACACCCTTAGAAGCAAAAGGGAAGGAAGAGGGAGAGCGAAAAATTGAGGTAAGAAAAGGCAATTAAGGGAGCTTGCATTACATGGGCTTAGGAAAGTAGGAAGAAAAATCACATGCAGAAAGTAAGGATCTGCACTGGGGACTTAAAAGAGCATGAAAATGATTTGAAACTTATTGTCAGGAATGAAGGCAGACACCAGCTCTAGTATTTTCTCTAGTTGGAAATGTCCTCAGAGACAGCACCTCCACTAACAATCCCAGTAAAACTCAAGAAATCATTTCCTGCTCTCCCGAGGATGGTGACTTCAGGTACTCACCATGGTCCAGCATTTGACACACCGTCGGAGGCTGTCCGACAAGACAGCCTCTAACAAAACGAGGCTGTAACACAATGTTTACTTTACGCCAAGAAGGTTGGGAAAGCACCAACGTCTGCATGTGGTGCGTGCCGTGAGCCCTAACGTTCTAATGGGGCTGTCTAACACGAAAAGCACGTCAGCAGGGTCTGCGGTGGATCCACGTGTGCTAAATGCGTCCGTGACAGGATCAAGCGTGCTTTCCTTACTGAGGAGCAGAAAATCGTTGTGAAAGTGTTGAAGGCACAAGCAGAGTCAGAAAGCTAAATAAATTTTAAAAATGGAGCTTTTTTGAGTAATAGAAACAATCAAAAGGCTCAAAAAAAAAAGTAAAGAAATCATTTCCTGGCACTTAACTAAGGAGCAGGAATCGTAAGGAGCACCGGGCACTCAAAGGGCCGAGCTTACCTGCTAAAGCCCAGCTCTTTCTTGTAACACCACAGCACCGAAGGCCGAGCCTTCACGGTTGCTTTGGACAACATGTGATGGAGTATGACCACCTGCCAAAGGAAAAAGTCACAGAATCTCAGAACCAAAAGTGACCTTTGAGTCTGCCGGGTCCAAGACCTCATTTGACAGACGTGGAAACTAAACTGAGGGCCAGGGAAGTGCCCAAGGTCACAAGGCAAGTAGTGCTCAAGATAGGACTAGAAGCCTCACACCCTTAACCTTGTGCTCAGTCCATCACCCAAAGCATCTAAAGTCGTTAACCTGTCTGCTAATAATTCTAACTATAGAGTATTCATCACTTACAAATAAAGAAAGATTCCCCAGTTGGCGTTTTAAAGAAAACCAGTCAAGCCCCTAGCCAGTTTGTCTCAGTGGATAGAGCATTGGCCTGTGGACCTAAGCGTCACGGGTTCAATTGCAGTCAAGGGCACATGCCTGGGTTGCGGGCTCGATCCCCAGTAGGGGGCGTGTAGGAGGCAGCCGGTCAATGATTCTCTCTCATTGATGTTTCTATCTCTCTCTCCCTCTCCCTTCCTCTCTGAAATCAATAAAAAATATATTTAAAAAAAAAAGAAAGAAAACCAATCAAGCCGGACCAGTGTGGCTCAGTGGTTGAATATCAACCTATGAACCAGGAGGTCAGGGTTCGATTTTTGGTCAGGTCACATGCCCGGGTTGCGGGCTCAATCCCCAGTGTGGGTGTGCAGGAGGCAGCTGATCAATGATTGTCTCTCATCATTGATGTCTCTATCTCTATCCCTCCCCATTCCTCTCTGAAATCAACAAAAAAACTTTTTTTAAAGAAAGTCAAGGGACCTTAATGTCACTGTGTGCTAAAACCCCAGAGGGCCTGTAACATGCTGACTCTTGGGGACTGCACAGCAAGTCAGAAGCATGTACCAGGTCTTACCTGATCTTTTCCTCGATCTCCAACCACAACAAAGAGAGACCTTTGCCGCTCAGCTACCCCATTCTCTATGAGAATCCGGATTCGGTTATCTACTTTCTTCCGATGCATGGTGAGTACTATCACTAAAACAGAATGGAAGGAAGCACACTGGCATGAGCACCAGATTCTGGGTGAGGAACATTAGCTGCTACCTCCCGTGGGGCCAGGGACTGTACTAGGCACATTTATAGGTAACATCTTAACCCTCAAACAACTCTCTAGCGAAGACATCACCCTCATTTTTTTAAAATTAGGAAACTGAGGCTTGGGAGGTGAAGAAAATGTTCCCTCAACGTGGAAATCAACAGGAAAGCTGTAATTTACAAGTATATGATGGAGCATTTTAAAAAATCAGAAACAGCCCTAGCTGGTTTGGCTCAGTGGATAGAGTGTTTGCCTGCGGACTGAAGGGTCCCAGGTTCAACTCCAGTCTACTGGGGTACATGCCTGGGTTGCAGGCTAGATCCCCAGTGGGGGTGTGCAGGAGGCAGGCAATCAATGATTCTCTCTCATCATTGATGTTTCTAACTCTACCTCTCCCTTCCTCTCTCTGAAATCAATAAAAATATATATTTTTAAAAATCAAAAACAATGTTCAAAAAAATAGTGGCTATACTATATAATGGTATATCTATGGGATATAATAAAGCAGTTTTCAATAAAACTTTTTCAAAATCATTAATTATCTACAAACTAGAGGCCCAATGCATGAAATTTGTGCAAGATCAGGCCTTCCTTCCCCTGGCTGCGGGCACCGGCTTCCCTCCAGCTCACGGGACCCGGGCTTCCCTCACAGCCCCAGCTTTGTCTGGAAAGTCGTCCTGAAGGATAGCCAGAAGGATGCCTGGTCTAATTAGCATATTAAGCTTTTATTATTATAGATATGGATATAGATTCTCATGACAGAATAACATGGCAGGATTAAGTATGATACTGGGTTTTTTATGCATATACATAATACATAGAGGGGGTAAAAAATGCCTAGCCAGTGTAGTTCAGTGGTTGAACCAAGAGGTCACGGTTGGATTCCCAGTCAGAAAACAGGCCCAGGGTTGCTGCTTAAGGCTTGACCAGTGGGAGGCATGCAGGAGGCAGCTGATCAATGATTCTCATCATTCATGTTTCTATCTCTCTTCCCCTCTCCTTTCCTCTCTGAAATCGATAAATAAAAGCATTATTTTTAAAAAAGAGAGAAGAAAGAAAAAGACTGGGAGAAAACACCAAAACATAAAGTAGCTATTTCTAAATTTGCGATTGCTGGTGATTCTTATTTTGTTCTTTTTTTTTTGAGTTTTGCTTTTTAAAATGCACATGCCAGGCAGACCTCAAAAGTTACTGTAATTACATATAATAAAATATCACATCATTACCATAATAAATACACCAAAGAAACATCGGATATGTTAATCACATTTATAACATGAAATTTTAAATGTTACTTAGAAACTCCCGTGTCTGCTACATTCTAAATGTAAAGCTCATTAATGGAACCTTAACCATGCCTTTACTGTCCTTGTAATTCCCCAATCCAAACAGAGACATTAGCGGCTCTATTTTACTGTAAACACTATGTCGCAATCAGTGGTTCCCAGTTTACAAGGAACGGAGCAAGTATCCCAAGGAAGAAAAGCTGTGGCGACAGGACGCACACTCAGGTCTGCCTGCCTGACTCGGAAGCCTGAGGTCATTCCAGTTTTTCTAACCTGCCCATCTGGACGGCTGAGTTGCGGGCCACATAACGACCCCATTAAAATCCATCAATAATAGTTATTGGGACTGCTTTTTGCTCGTTACCTGGGAGGCCCAGAACAGTACCAAAGTCTTGACTTCTGATTAAAGTCTGAGATTGCTGTTGCCATGAAAGGCTTAATGGCGGAGGAAGGCCTTGGAGGAGGAAAAGGTGATTATTTTTCATTCACTCATCTGTCGTCTGACATACACATGGCATCCATATGCCAGGCACCTTCAAGGAGCGCTAGTAAACAAGTCCAAGTCCCGAATGCGACTGCTGAGCGCGGAGCATGAAATGACTGAGCACCGGCGAGCAGCTAAGCGTGGGAGGTCGTGGACTCACACTGCCTCCGCTCAGCGCCCAGCGCGGCAACCAGGTCCGCCCGTGCGGGCGTCAGGGCCTGTGGGCGGGTCCGCGGAGGCCGACGGGCTGCCCCACCCGATCACCTCGACTCCCCCACCCCATCACCTCGACTCCCCCGGCCAGAGGTTCCCAGCAGGTGGAGAGCGAGCCCGGCAGCCCCCGAGAAGCGCGCCGTGGCTGCCTGTTGGGGAGGAGGCTCCTGTCATCCAGGAGCGCCGGGCCGGGCAGAGGCAGGGTCTCCTCCGGCCCACGGACACCCGCCTCGGCACCCAAGCCCGGCCGCCCCGCGAGGAGTACCTGCGTCCCGAGTCTGGCGAATCCCAAATAGCGGCGAGGCGGAAGCACGTGGAGGAGGACGTGCTCCCGAGCAGCTTCCGAGGACGGCGCAGGGACCGCCCCCCGCGTTCGCCGGGCTCCGCGACGCGCCCCGCCCCGCCCCGCCGGCGCCGGGAGGCGGCGCGTGCCCGAGGGGGCCTTTCTCAGCCCTGTCCCTGCGTGATGACGTCAGGCCCGGGAGGCGGCTACCACCTCGGCGGCGACCGCGGCTCTCTCCTCTGCCGGTGGCGGCTGTGGCGCGGCAGGTACGGTAACCTGCCCTCAGATGCCGCGCCCGCGGCGCTGCCCTGTGCCGGCAGCTGGTGCCGGGCAGGTCCGGGACTCCACTTGGTAAGTAGCCCCGGGTTTTCCCTAACAGCCTGGTTATGCGAGACCTTCTGGCTTCAGGAATCTGCGTAATTTACCGACCCTCTTATTTAAATACCTTCGCATTTTACTGACAAGATGAGGAAACTCCATCAGCAGACCTTTTCCGTCCATCTCACTTAACCCAGCCCCGCCGATGACCTTAGCCTGGAATTGTTTTACACCCTCGGCGGCCGCTCCTTCGCCGGCTCCCTCGAGGCCCGCGGCCACCTAACGCTGGCGCTCTGCGGAAAGCCAGCTCCCGGGTGCAGCTCCCACAGCTCGCCCAAGCACATGGCTACAAGGGTCACCCGTGCCTTCGTTGGGCCAGGTCGTTGAACTTAACAAATTCAACTGCTTGATACTTCTCTTCGGACACCTCAAATTCATTGTCTGAAGCCGGGCTCGTTTCCCTTGTTCCCTGAAACGTTCCCCAAATCAAGACACTTCTAAAGCCGATGCAGTCAGCGCCATCACCCATCCGTCCAGTTTCTTTACTCAACGAAGTCACCATGCCAGGCACAAGGGACAGTAACCACTGTTCCTGCCCCTCGTGAAGCTTCCGGTAGGTTTTAAGTGGTATTAAAACTATACATTGAGTAAAGTGATTAAAGGTACTGCTTTAGAGGTGGACATGAAGTGAAGACCCAAACTTAAGTGAAAATCTTGGCAAAGCAGCCAGTGAGCAAAAAGAAAATGATAGATCAGGCCAGGTAATGGGCATGTGGGCCAGATTTAGGCTTAACTCCAGGTGTGACAGGAAACCACTGCAGTTTGGGATACCGGGAAGTGACAATCTGTCCTCCTAAAAGTCTCGCTCTGGCCACTATGCAAAAACCATAGCAAGAGTACAAGCAGGGAAAACCATTACAAGCTACTGTAGCTAACTTCTAAACTGGTATCCGTGATAGTCACAAGTGCTAGGTGACTCGATATATTTTCAAGGTAGAACCATGTGGATTTGCGTAAGGACTAGGTATAGGGTATGAAAGGAAATCAAAGACGATGTCCAAGATGTATTTGCTCTGAGCAACTGGATGAATGTGGGCTAATCAAGAGATCAAGTTAGCATACTCACCACATTCAAATGAAGACACTGAGTATGAATGGTCTTGAGAGTTTGGGACCTAGACATATTTCACACTAAAATGCTAATTGTGTCAAAATCATGAAATTAAAAGGTCTAGGAAAAAATATTAGCTAGAGATGATGTTTGGTAACCAAGGCCCAGAGAACTCAGCGAAGTACAGATATAAAATATGTAGAATCCATTCACCACCCTCCACGCTGTGTCCATTTAGTACAAGAGTTACGTTAACAGGCATCTCTTGACCCGTACATTTTGTTCTCAACACTGCACTGCGTGTTCTTTAAAATGGCATTTATTAGGAGGCCCACCATCCTTCCCCCTATACACACAGCTCAAAAATCTTCAATAATCCCCACCTATTCTTACAAAATAAAACTTAACATGGCATGTAACTATGAAGACATCTATAGTGGCTTGTGTGCTTCTTCCATCTCTCAACTAACTCTGTATTCACTTGAGCCAGACAGCATTCTCAGTCACTGGAGATTGGACCTTTGGACATGCTTTCCTCTCACCTTCTTTGCCTTATTCTTCAAGTCTTAGTTCAACATCCCTTTCAATGACGTCTTGCCTGATGGTTTTGACTAGGTTATATCCTATCAGTCGTGGCCTTAAAATCTACCATCAACCATGCTCCTCCATCGTGGCATTTGCTACACTTCAATGCCACATCAGTACCTTTAGACAGTTCAGTGAAAGAAGGAACCACAGTGATTTTGTCGCCATGAGTGCTCAGTGTTTGGCATGCCTGGCAAAGGCTACCCCATTTTCTCAATGAAGATTTAGTTCCGTGGCTTCCTAATATAAACACAGGACTTAAAGAAAACTAGTATTTACAAATAACACAATACTAAAAATTGGCTTAGTAGATTAGGTGAACCTTCACTATGTAAACTCAAAACAACCAGTCTTCTGCATGAGACGATTAGGCTTCAGAGCAGCTGCCAAAAGTATTGAAAGCCTGTTGAGAATACTGTAGTTCTGCCCTCTTAGAAATCAAAGCTACCAAAGAGATGTCTTTAGCTTTTCCTCTCCTAAGTGTAAGGATGACATCTTAAAGGTTTGCTGAATGGTATATACAACTAAGGCAGACTTCACTCAAGGACAATAAGGAATCAGACTTTAATGATTTAACCTAATGTAATTAAAACATTCACTAGTCTTCTCCAGTATTTTTGTAGAATTCAAAATTGGAAAAGGTGTGGAGATGAGCCTTAACAATTTACTTTCAGTTTCCTGAGGGTTTTCCTTCCCCATTACCTCTTTAGAAGGGACAAGCGCAAGGGCAATACCGACTCTTTTAAATATAGTCAACAAAACTTAAGAGGCTTAACAAGAACTCAGTGAGTTGGGAATTCAGGAGCTTAAAGATGAAATGAAGGGTTTGAACTCAGTGCTTATCTGTATCCCATTTCTCCCTAATTAGATATATTATCGAAAATAAAATGAACAATACAAATTTCCTAAGACAATTAGAAGATTGACTACTGAACTCCATTCTACATTTTATGAATTGGTTGTCAACAAAGCACCTTAGTTCATGAGCCTTCTGATAAAACACATTCTCATGTCTCCTGTAAGTGGGTAAGTCTCCCATGTTGCATATATGAGGCAAAACAACTATACAAGCTAACTGATCAAAAGAATATTGAAAGGATACTTATTTTAGTATCAAGATAACAATGATCAGGAAAAACTCTTCCCTATTCTTTAAGGATATTAGGACCTGAAAGTTAAACTGCCCTAACGGAGGCAATCCATGACATTCTACCTTAAAGCTTTAAAAAGGTCCCATTATCCATGTGAGATGGCTGTATCTGTGCATTTACAAAAATTCTATGTATGGAGTCTTGCTATACCAAGAAACTACAATGACTCATGTGATAATCATTTCCTTGCAACTCTGCTAATATATGCATTTGACCAAACAAAAGGCTTTCTGCAGACAGGACAAGTATATTAATATATTAAGACAGAATACTTAGAACTAAAACTCAGATCTTAATGAAACCTTTACAAAGTTCTCTGCCTCATACTGAGGTATTCCTTTATATAGGAATTCCTTTATAGCATATAGTCTGGCCCCAGCCAGTGTGGCTCAGCGGTTGAACATCAACCCAGAAACCAAGAGGTTGCAGGCTCCATCATCAGCAGGGGCAGTGCAGGAGCAGCCAATCAATGATGTTCCTCTCTCATCCATGTTTCTATCCCTCTCCCTCTCCATAAAAATCAATAAAAAAACAAATTTAAAAATATAGTCTGAATTGAAGCATAAACGCTTTACATTTACACTGCAATGGTAGAATACCAAAAAAATACACAGTATTTCAAAAAAACAATTCTTTAAAAAACATATAAACAAACAAACACCTTTACACATTCACATCTACACTAATGCATAGAACTTTGAAATCTAGAAAGTTTCTCCCCATCCCATCTCTGAACTGATTGAGATCACTGTATAAAGAACTTATTTACTTCAATTTTGATTGTAAATATCATGAAATTGTTTTCTACACGGATAGCAAATTTAGTTTTATAGAGGACTGTAAGCATACATCTAGGGATTACCCAATAAACCACGAATATTTTATATAATCCCTCTAAAATACACCTAACATATGGTTGTGGTACATCCCAGGCAGATGTCATTTTAAAGCACACAAGGGGAGGTGCCAACAAAATAAATACTCATTTGCAAATGTAAACAGATAACCCTCCAATATGATGTACCACAACCACAAGAGAAAAGTCAAGAACTTACTTTATTTTAAAATAAACATTGAAGATCCCCCCCCCACTTCCCACCACCCTACAAAACTTTTGCATGTGGAATGTTCAAGAGCCTATCCATTTTAGTAGGTTAAAACCAGCAAAAACTCCAGTTGTCTAATGATGAATGTTTGAGAATAGTTTTGTGCTGAGCACCTACTGAAAAAAATTCCTTAGCTAAAGGCTGAAAACAAAATGTAACGTCTGCACAGAAAATACCATTAACTTAGTAGCCTTTGCTCAATAGGTGGGCTTAGTTCCCCATGAAGTCAAAGTGGGATACGAGAAGCAGCACTGAGTTCACAGGCACACAGAACTAGTGCTCAAACTGCTAGCACATATTCCAGCATGGTATATAAATTACTAAACTGTCCATCTCCACCGAAATCTGTGACTCTCCCTGTGCATCTAAGGGAAGGAATCACCACTTTGAATATAAATTCCTCCAGGAGAAAAGGATAATTAGGGTTAGACAAATTTAAGTACAAGTACTATTGAAATAGTTGCTGGAGATGACCATAAAATTTGAAACACAATGCATGACTGAACAGCTGCTAGCTGTTGAACACCAGTGTTTCAAGATGCAACTTTTATAAACATGTTTTATTTGTTTTGCTTATACCATCAGAACTGAAACTACTGACTGTCATTTCCCTAAAATAGGGAAATCAATCTAACACGTACTGGTGCTTTTCAAAAGATAGCAATTTAAAAGGGTGGTAGCAGCAGGCATTTGTTATCTTTTAAAAACCTTCAGGCTGCAGGGAAACGGCCAAGAGTGTTATGATTATCCATTACAGATTTCCATCAGTACCTGTACCACTTCAGGTAACAAAACAGCAAGATCCAGAGATTAGTGACAGACAATGAGAATCGTAAGGAATGATATATATTACCAATCCTTACAAAAGTCATTGTCAAAGAAAATGTTATGTGTTCAAAAGGTATCTAAATACTTCACAGTAAGTACAGAAGCGGCGATCCAGATTACATCCCATATTTGTTGCATATTTTTCAAAAAGTGCCAATCAAAGCCTAATATTGCATTTCGGCTTTGTCTTATACAGTGTCAGCTGTTAGGAAGCAATTTACATGTGTTTTTAACCACAGTCATTTGGCCAAGGATGAATAATGCTGTGTCAAAGCTGGTAGCCAACCTTATATATGTGATTAAGGGCCCATGCGTGATTTGATGTGCATCTAAACGTTCAATGCTCCATTTAACTGGAAAAGTTGTGAAGTGCAGTTTTTTTGCCAAACCAAACTCCTCCTTCCATCTTCCTTTCATGGGAAATGTTTTTGTCAATTACCACTGAATAATGCTAGGGCTGATTTGTAGACTTTATCCAATGTCACAAGTCAATCTTGCTTTTTCCAAGCCACTTCGGTTAACTATGGAGATATTATCACCCTGTAAAGTATATTATGTTTTACTCCTAAGCAAGGGTGAGGAATCTGAGTATCATGTGCAAGGCTCAAGATGACGCTTAGGACAGAACATGCAGAGTAAAAATAGTTTCCTTCCATATCCAGGTAATATAAAGCTGACAATTGTAGTCCTGTCTTTATGGGATGAAAACAGTCCCTTTACAATAAGTTTTCTGAAAGGGAGAACAAATAGATAATAACTCTTCTGGTAACATATTATGGTACACTGGCCAGTGTGTTTTTGGCGATTAAACATAATCCTGTGACTCAGATTAATTCACTTGCTGAGTGTTCATTTGCGGCATCCCTCTGTTGGGTCTTGGGGGCCCTCCACGACCTAGAAGACAAAAATGGCATTTGGTTTTTCTTTCAAATACTTTTTGTTTCGCCTTCAAGCAGACTTTCATCTGAAGTCAAGAAGCATGTGGGGAGCTTGTCACCACATTATTAGGTTTAAGAGGTCAATTCTTCAGTGTTCAAGTTTCACCTGTCCTGGAAGTTGTCATGCCCAAATCTGCTCATGTTTTCTGGCTAAAAGAAGAGTAGAGCTAATGGAGTATTCCACCAGTACTCATTCATTCATTCATTCAACAAGTATTTATTGAGTGCCTACTATGTGCCAGGCACTGTCATCAGGCGTTGGAAATAGATACAGCAGTGAAAACAGACAAGGTACCTGGCTCTCATGGAGCTTACATTCTAGTGTACACTCTAGCTTATTACATTTCAGTAGTAAGTAACATCATACTATCAAAATTAATAAAAGCACCAGAATGAAAAACAGACCTTATTACCTAAACTTTTAAAAAGAAACTACATAACATTGAAAATTGTATAATGACTTGTAACAGATAAAGTAACTTTTTACATGCTGTTAAAACAGATTTTTAGCTACCAGTAAACTCAACTTTCATAGAATATGCTACAAGGTGAAAATGAACATAACGCACATTCACATGCAAATATCCTTTGATATTTCAAGTCAATAATTTCCCAGTGATCCATTAATTTTTTAAAAATGCACCTTTTGCTGGCCAGTTTCTATTAGCATTAAAATCAAAGTACTTTATAATTCCTCCGAAATATACATTTTATACATGTGATGGCCAAAATCTAGAGGAAACCTATTCAATTTACATCCTTCCAATAAGAGAACCATTTAGAACTTCAGATCAGATGAAATGCTACTTCTGTTACATAGGTTGACTTCCTGCCCAAATAGTACGAAGTAGTTTTCCTACAGTAATAGACAAAACCAAAAACTCTTAAAAGCTGTATTTTTAAATATGATTTAATTAGTTAGGAATTTGGAGGTTTTGTTTAAGTCAGAAACTAGTGGGTATTTATATAATAATGGTCCAAAAGGCATTGAAATTTCAATTAGTTCTATGACTTCTAAATGGTTCTCTAAATGTAACTATGGCTTATCTGGCCATTAAAGGGTCTCTGGCCCTAAAATATAATATGCATGTTTCAAAAATAAAAGAGGAATAATAAATTTATATAAATGTTCAATCTCATTCCAAAAATGTCTTACAAAATGTTTCAGTAAGTACTTCCTAAAAACATTTAGCAGGTTTTAGGACCTGAAAAATAATTTGCAGTTGGAAAAACATTTTTTTCTGAGGAGGAAAAATGTTCTAGTTTTTGAGACAGTTTATAGTAACAGGGACAGTCATTCAAAAAATTAAATTTGGGTTCAAGATAAATTTTAGAAACAGAGCATTTCATTTAATCCTTGCAACAAGTCTGGAAATGATAAATGTATTCCTAACAAGTAACCTACATGCAGATTATGAACAGCTCTTCCAAGGCCAGAACAGAAGCTCCACTTAGGAACTAGGATCACCACCACAAAATATTACCTCGTGGGGCTCCCCGTGGTCCATTCTGCCCAGAGCCTCGCTTGAAATTCTGCTGATATCCATCCTAAAAGACATGCTAGTTAGTACTGAAGAGAAGAGACGGTAATTTTTAAATCCTCAGCCATCTAGATTCTTAGTCAGATACTTGCAAAATATAGAACTCCTCCTTATTCTTTTAGACATTTCTGTATTGTTATACTCCTATTATTCTTAAGAATGTTCAATGAAATATTTTCTCTGCTCTTAAAAATCGTTTTTAACAGATGTTCTTAAAACGAGTACCTACACTGAGTACTAAAAAAAGCAAAAGTCGTCATTCTCCATAATGAACTATCTTTATCTTGTGCAAAGGTATAAAATCAGCCCTAGCTGGTTTGGCTCAGTGGATCGAGTGTCAGCCTGTAGACTGAAGAGTCCTGGGTTCGATTCTGGTCAAGGGCAGATGCCTGAGTTGTGGGCTCAATCCCCGGTAGGGGGTGTGTAGGAGGCAGCCAATCAATGATTTTCTCTCATCATTGATGTTTCTATCTCTCCCTCTGCTTCCTCTCTGAAATCAATAAAAATAATTTTTAAAAAAACCACAGGTATAAAAATCAGCCCAAATTAGTTAATCAAGTCCATCAAGAAACTACAGCCCAGCCAGTATGACTCAGTGGTTAAGCATCGACCTATGAACCAGGAGGTTGAGGTTCGATGCCCGGTCAAGGTACATGCCTGGCAGCCAATCAATGCTTCTCTCGCTCCCTTCTCCTCTCTGAAACCAATAAAAATATATTTTAAAAAGAAACTACATCAATCACTGGCATTGGTATATTTCAGTCAGGTTTATATTTTAAAACAAACTTTACCTACCCGCTGATAGCCAGAGTAGTCCCGGGGAGCACTGAACTGAGACTGTGTGTAACCACTGTTTGGAGTGTTAGAGAATGAAGGGCGGTAACCATCATATCCTCCTAAAATTTAGGACAAGAGAATAATTTTCTTCACAAGGAATGTTTACTTTCTTACTAACCAAGGGAAGAACTAAAATATTATATTAATTTCTAATCACTATCTTGACCCAATCTGTTTATATATTTCTATGAGCAGTAATTAGAACAGTGGTTCTCAACCTTCCTAATGCCACAACCCTTTAATACAGTTCCTCATGTTGTGGTGACCCCCAACCATTAAATTATTTTCATTGCTACTTCATAACTGTAATTTTGCTACTGTTATGAATCATAATGTAAATATCTGATATGCAGGATGTATTTTCATTGTTACAAATTGGACATAATTAAAGCATAGTGATTAATCACTAAAACAATATGTAATTATATATGTGTTTTCCAATGGTCTTAGGTGACCCCTGTTAAAGGGTCGTTCGACCTGACCCCGCCCCAGGGGTCACGGCCCACAGGTTGAGAACCGCTGAATTAGAAGATGAAATTTTCTCTCATCCATGCACATACACACATGAAAAGACAAAAAAAAAAAACAGAAAAATATCCCTACGGTCTGATAATATATGAAAAGCAATTATCCCTTATTGGACAATAGTAGGCATGGGTCTGACACATAAAAAACTCAATGTCAATTTAAATGACTGTATCAAAATATACAAGTTTTTAAATTATAAAGGAGATTAATGCAGAGAGATACATATCTTTCCCAAAAACATGATTATTTCTACGTATTTTACAAATCAGGAAAGGGCATGAACTTGTGTTGTTAATTTTTACCTCTGAATCCATTGGCAGGGCCCCTGTATCCGTTCATCAAGCCTCTAGCACCACGAGAGCCTCCACGAGACACACCACGACTGTTGTAATAGGGCTGACTGCTCCGAGGAAACCCCGCGTTCTGCTGGGGAGGCTGCTGGTGGTTACCAGTCACTTGATGGGGTTGGTCCTGGGAACCATGGTAAGTGCCAACCACTATAATAAAAGAGAGGGAAAAAACATGTATACACACATACACTACACACAGCTCATTACAATTTGTTCTCCCACATGTTTTCTGGCTTAAGAAGTGTCTTATACAATCTCCTCAAAGTTTAATTCTGTCTTTAAATAAATTTGCATATTAATAGGGAAAACTACATATTAATAAGTCCCTGCCTTGCTCCTACAACAGAATAAAAATCTCCAACAATTCCTTATCTCTGAAAGCACACAACTGTGTGAGAACACACAATTCTATCCTTCCAAATGATTTGAAAAGCTATCTCATTAAACATCTGAAAGGCATCGCCTATTAGCACAAGAGACTAATTCAGAAGATCTCACATACAGAAACAGTAAAATTATCATTTTATAGCATTTAATGATTTCTTTTCATTATAAAGTTCCTTCGTAGTTGAATCTTTCATTCTTTTAAATCTCCCTCAAATTTACTGACAACTTACAAAAAACTGTTTCCATAGCTAAGCTACAATATTCAGTCAATTACAAAGATAAACCAGCAGAGGCCTTTAACTTGTACCCCCTTAATTCTTGATTCATTTCAAGCACTTTTGAGTGCAGCCAATTCTGAAGACAGTTAAATGATACACCAGCATGCAGTCAGCTACAATGAAAGGTCTTAGAAGGCCCACTACTCTGCACCCGTCCTCCTCCTCTCTACAGTGGGAGATCTAGGAACCTTCCAATGTTAAATACTGAGGCACATCTCTGCTATTATGCCAATGTTCATAATTTTCATAATTCACGGGGTGGGGGAGGCAAAAAACGGGGTGCTAACTAAACCTTTGGGAGATGAGGAAAGTAGAGACCACAGGAAGGCCTACACCCAGGAACAAAAACAGCAGCCTCTAGCCAGCCCAAACCTCCCTTGCTTGGGCACAAAGGTGGCGTGACTCTCAAACATCTTTACCTGACTTATTTTATATACTCAAGAAACCCTAAGTACATTTTAGTTTATAGAATTGTATTTTTCAATTAAAAGGGTAGGAAATGTCTAAGGAAGGAAGGATCATGACTCCTTTTTCAATTATGGAATGGAATAAATACACTGTTACTTACAATGTGATCTTTAGATTAATTACCTTTTACTGCATTCCCAAAATTTAAAATTACAAGCAAATTATCACCAGTACAAGTAACACTGTCTATCTAAAAAGATTCATTTTTATGTGGGTAGAAAGTAGGTCAAAGAACCGAATTTTCGACTCACTTTTTATCACTAAGAATTAATGTTGGTCAAATCTCACTGTAAGAAACTCAAAGCAAAACAATTAAAGAGTGATCTTTATTTAAAAATACCAGGACTCCTTTTCTCCTTTAATTCAAATTAAACAACACTTCTGCACTGATGGGACACACTGATTTGTTCAACAACTATCGAGTGCTCTCAACATGCCAAACATGTCCTAGACATCAGGGATGTATCAGTTACTAACGCACAACCTTTGCCCAGATGGACATTTTAATAATGGGAGATAAGTGAATAAAATACACTTAAAAGTGAAAACATCTATATAGTATCAGTTAATAAGTGATGAAGACTAAACCATAGTAGGATAAATAAGTGACTAAAGTGAGTGTGAAATATTTAGACAGGGCAATGAAGGGAGGTCTCTGTAAGGTGCTATCTGAGCAAAAACCTAATAAAGGTCAATAAACAAAGCCCCATAAACATGAGTGGAAGAAAGTTTCAGGCAATAAGGAGGGAAGTGTACAGGCTGTGAGAGAGCAGAGAACCTGCTGTGTTTGTGGTTGGTATGGAAGGAAACAGGATGTACAGACAGTCCTCGGGTTACGACGGACTCGACGTACGTCGTTTCGTGGTGCCATCATTTCGACATATGTGCTTTATGATTTTTATTATTTATTTACCACAAGTAAAGGTAAGGAATTGTTATCTTTCTTTTAAATTTTTTTACTGTTTCACTTCATTGCTGCTGTGTATGTGCTCCATGTGAGTGACGTAGGTGCTTATGTAGGTGGGCTCCAACTTAGGCGAAAATCGCGTTACATCGCACCATAGAAACGTATCTCCGATGTAACCCGAGGACCCACTGTACACAGGATCAAGGCAGGGACCAGGTCATAAAGGACCTTATAAACCAAGGACTTTGGATTTCTTTTCTAAATAAAATAGGAAGTCACAGAAAGGTTTTGAACAAGAGAAAGACATCTGATTTACATTTTAAAATAATCACTCTGGGCTACTGTGTGAAGAACAGACTGGGCTAGGTTTAAGTTTAAATAAGCAAAATATATGGGCTGATTTTGCTTTTTTATTGAAAATGTCTGAATGTTATGCAGTTAATCTTTATAAATAGTGTCTTTTAAAATGCTAACGAAAGGTTATCTAGCTCAAGTGCTTCAGTCAGTGAAGGCAAGTTACAATATAAGAGCAAGGGAGTTTGAAATCAACTGGCACAAGGGGTAAAATTAAGCAAATCAAATAATATGAAGTAATTACTTTTCATTTCATCACACCATCTGAAAAAAATGGCAAAATAGCAAGCATGTCAGCACAATGTCAAAAGGCCCCAAATTTACCTGCTCCAAACCAACTTATGAATGCATGGCAATGAAATAATTAGAGGAGCCTGAGAGCAAGAAGCCCAGTTATTCAGAAGCTGAGCACATATAGCATAACTGGCAAATTTCTATCAGATTATGACTGACTTAACCTCCCTGCTGATTAGTAAATGCTGAGTACTATAGGGCTATGTAAGGATTTATTACTGAAAAATCTACCATGTTGATCCAGGTCTAACAAGAAAATTTCAGTTACTAAAATCGAAGTAATAACAACTCCTATGATTTTAGCAGGGTTTGCTATAGTTTGTTGTGGGATCCCAATTAAAGTCCTAGGAATTAAATAACCATAGACCTAAAAAGATATTTCATGTGTTACAAATTTAACAAATCTAAAATATCTTTATCTACTTTATTACTGTGACAGGTATGATAACAGGCCAAATTACAACCATACTTTCCAACAAGGACTTTTGTTTCAACCAATCAACCAAATGCAGCCACCACCAACTCCTTACTGCTTCCTGGCTTTGTATAACTGAGTGCTAAGTATCATGCCAGCAGGCTTTAATAAATTAGCAATTAAAAGCAAATTTAATCATAATTTGAGTAACAAGTTTAATTCCACTAAAATCATATAATAAAAAAGATACTATGAAAGCTCACTAACCAAAGGAAAATGGGTATAATACTGCACATTATTCATATATAGCAAATACATACTCAATTTAACTCAGGGCCAAAAATCCAAAATCCATAAGGTCTAATGCTAACACAAAACTTCCTGGATGCGGCCACTCTGAAGTCTGAACTGTCCTACACTGTCAACACCTGCATTGGGAAACAAGTAGCCAGGACGTGATGCGGGGTCCCCTACCTGTTTGAAGTTGTTCTTGCTGAAGCTCTGTTTGCTCTACTTGGTGAGGCTGACTGGTAAAGCTCTGGTTATAGCTGGCCTGGTACTGATTCTGCTGTTTTAATGTTTCTGGTTCATTAACAGGAGGAACTGGGGCATTCATATTGAACACCTGTAAGTAAATAAATGATTAGTTCATCCAGTTATGCTAATAATTTCCTCACTTTTAACATGGCAGACTTTAATGCTGGTTTTACCTCAAATGTAAAAAAGTCTCAAACATCTCACACACACACACACACACACACACACACACACACACACACACACCTTTCATTTAATGCACTTCAATGTGGAGAAAAATATATGCCATCCAGCACTTAAAGAAGAGAATTATGAATGGGGATTTTAAAAATCTAAAGACATATAATCAATAGCCTTGGAAATGCTATTATAAATGATAAATCTGTATAAAGACATAAACCCCTGATACAATATCAGTTATACAAATTAATTCTATAAACTTCAACTTTGAGTTGAATATTTACTTGTTATTTTATTTTTATGATATTTTCAATCACAAGTTAATATTTTAAGTATGTAACACTATGAATTTTCCTATGAGCACTGATTTAACTCTATCCCACTGATTATTTTCCATTATCATCATTTTCTACAAACTACAATTTAGAGATGTTTACTGAAGAAACAGGGTGAAGTATCAGACTGCCTGAAATTTACTTTGATATGCTTCAGTAAACAATTAAGTAAATATAGCAAAATTTAAACAACTGTTAAATTTACGTAACAATGTTTATATATAGATATTATTTTGGTCTGTTTTTCTGCATGTTTAAGATTTTGTTAATCAAATCAAAAGGGTGCAGCTGTAAAACACATAACTCCTAAGACTCAAATCTACCACTGGAAGCAGGAAAATCAGAGTTTAGGTTCAATTAAATATACCCTACAGTTAGGGTAGATGCAGACTCAAGCACAAAGTTTAAATAAAGACTTTTTGTTGAAACTCTAGCATAATAGTACACACTAGGTACTCAATGTTGGTTGAATTAATTTGCCTACCGTTTGCATGGATTGGAATGGAGCTGCATTTACATTGATTCCACTGCTATGTAAAGGTTTGCTTGTCCCAGCCTGGAACACTTGGGGCTGAGAGGCAGCAGGAAGGGATGAGGATGCTGTAGTCTGGTCTGCATTTAAAGAGATTGTTGCCTAAACACAAAGTGAATAGATGCACTTTAGTGATAAACTACACTTAGCCAAGGCTACTGCCCATATGTGTATTAACAAACTCAACCATTTCATGAAATAAAAATGCTGTAGTACATGCATTAGGTCCAAAATGAAAGTCACTATATCAAAAGTCATTTACCTCTGCCCAATTCATGAATAAGCACCTCATCAAGTTTATATGACCTGGTAACAGAACTTGCCTGAATCTGATCAAGTGGTTCCTTTTGTGGTCGTTGCTCTGTAGCATGAGAAGGCTGGTACAAGGGTTGAGATGCTGTATACCCTTCACTTGTGGATGATACCAAAGGAACCTACACAGAGATAAAGTAATCAAAGCTTCTTTGTGTTATAAGCCAACTCTGATACATGCAAGGCTAAAAAAATGTAGATAAGTAGACTATAAAACCTAACCACTACAAAAAATACATGTATTATTAGAGCTCAAAGTTAAACATTAGTCCAGTTGTAAGGTCCCCACAAATGCTTCTAAAATGGTAATATCTGCACTAAATTTTAGAATTATGTCTAAAAGCATCTTCTTTCATTATAATAAACTATTCTAAAGAAACAAGAATTAGAAAAAAATTTTATACATCACCAAGAAAAATAAATGTAGTCATGGAAATAAAGCTACACATGCCAGATTTGGACACTCATAAAATTCATACCTGACTTTCATAAGCTAACTAAGAAACTGACTAAAGAACTGGCTAAAAACAAACCTGCAAAAATATTTCTATCACTCTCACCTGTGTAGCTTCGGGTTGTACGGGAACTTGATTAGGCTGAGCAAGTCTAGATTCAGAATGAACTGAAAAATTGACCAAAAAAATAATCGTTATACAAAATTAAATTTCTTCAAAGATGTCTAAATACCTTTTACTTCGTAGAAAAGGCAAAATTCTATAGCCAGATTCTAAATAAACTGCTTAGCAATCATGAAGATACTTTGAATTTTAGCTTTCAATTTCAAACACAATTTAGTATTGTGTTTACTGGTAGTAATTATTAATCAACTCTCACAATGGTTTTCATTCTGTTTTACAAAGGTAAAGATGTTAGTAATAAATATTAACAAAGAGGTAGAGAGCAGCCCTAGCTGGTTTGGCTCAGTGGAAAGAGTATCGTCCTGCAGACTAAAGAGTCCCAGGTTCGATTCTGGTCAAGGGCACATGCCCGGGTTGTGGGCATGGAGGAGGCAGCCAATCAATGATTCTCTCATCATTGATGTTTCTATCTCTCTCTACCTCCCCCTTCCTCTCTGAAATCAATAAAAATTTTTAAAAAAAAAAAGGTAGAGAGCAGAACAGGTAAGAATCAGTGCCAGTGTTATCCATGAAAAAGGCTTATAAAGCAGTAACTATAAAGTAGTATTACTCTTAAGACCTTAGATAATATCCAGTATTATTTTAACACTAGAGGCCCAGTGCACGAATTAGTGCACCAGTGGGGTCCCTAGGCCTGGCCTGCGGGATCAGGCTGAAACTGGTTCTCCGACATCCCCTGAGGGGTCCCGGATTTCGAGAGGGCTCAGGCCAGGCCAAGGGACCCCACCGGTGCACGATCGGGGCCGAGGAGGGACTGCAGGACAGCTCCAAGGTGTGCCCGGCCCATCTCGCTCAGTCCAGATCAGCTGGACCCCAGCAGCAAGCTAACGTACGGGTCAGAGCATCTGCCCCCTGGTGGTCAATGCACATCATAGCGAGCGGTTGAGTGGCCTTAGCATATCTTTAGCATCTTATGCTTTGATTGGTTGATCAGACGATTGGACACTTAGCATATTAGGCTTTTATTATGTAGGATTATCAAGTTTCAATATAATCTCTCAAATGTTTCTGCATAAAAAACCAAAGTGTAAGTATACTTTTAAAAAGCCTATATTCAATTCAGTGTACATATTGCCAACTCCCACGATCTTTCCATTCCCCTACCAAACATGATTATAAATAAAAAATACAGGATCTCACCCTGCCTGGTTGAGTGTTATCCCGTGCACTGGGAGTCACCCAGTTTGATTACCAGTCAGGCCATGTGCCTGAGTTTTGGGCTCAATCCCCAGTAGGAGGTGGGCAGGAGGGAGCCTACTGATGTTTCTTTCTCCCTCCCTCCCTCCTTCCCTCCCTTCCTCCCTTAAAAAAAAAAAAAAAATCAATGAAGCATATTTAAATACATTAATTAAATAAAAAATACAGGATCTTTGGTTAGTCATTTAAAATTGCCTGTTCTTACTGGAGAATCTAATGCAGCGGCCACCAACCAGTGGTCGGTACGCTACCAGTGGTCCATAGACTACTGGTGGTCCGTGAGGTCCGAAAGGTTGGCGACCACTGATCTAATGGACTCAGCATTTATTTACCTGAGTTACATGAGTGCTTCAGCACAACTTACTAGCTTAGAAAACTCTGTATTTTCTTCCTCCGGTGGAGCTCAGAAAATGAATGCCAATAACTCTAATTCCTTTCTAGCAGGCCTAACACCTAACCTTCATCTTTTTTCTAACTCTTGGTAGAAATGTAACCAAGCTAAAACCGGTTTGGCTCAGTGGATAGAGCGTCGGTCTGTGGACCCAAGGGTCCCAGGTTCGATTCCGGTCAGGGGCATGTATCTGGGTTGCGGGCACATCCCCAGTAGGAGATGTGCAGGAGGCGGCTGATCTATGTTTCTCTCTCATCGATGTTTCTGACTATTTCTCTCCCTTCCTCTCTGTCAAAAATCAATAAAATATATTTAAAAAGAAAAAAAAAGAAATGTGACCAAGATGAGCTCCCTTTGCTTGGGAAAAATCCCAACTACCTTACCAGATTAACTGTCATTAAACAATGCTTTTACTCAGCAATGCTTTTTATATAACGTTTAAAATTATACATTAAATGTGTTACTTTGCATAGTTCCACTTTTGTGCCCTTAATGCTGACATGATCTGGGAAGAAAACAAGACTAAAAATCACTAACAATCCACTTAACCCAATAAAGGTACCAACTCTACTTAGTGCTGCTGTTTCAAATAATGGTGTAAGATTAGTGTTGCGTCTGAAACTTCAACTGTCTTTTTATCTTCACCTTTTCTCTTAAGCATTCCCTTACCCACTTGACTGTTAAAGCTCATTTTCAAAAAGCTGCAAACATTCTTCAGAAAAAAACACCTCTATTATTTTTTATTCTGAGATTAATCTTGACATTTAAAAAGTCCAAGCAAAATTTCATTTACATAAATTACAGAAACAGGAAAAACTGGTCTATAGATTTATAAGTCAGGAAGTAATTACCATGGAGCTAGGGGGAAGGGTAGCCAGTGACTGAAAGGTGACAAAAATAGGCTTCTGGGTACTGATAATGTTCCATTTTTGAGTGTTGATGTCTTCAGTTTATGAAAACTCGTCAAAATGTACATTTGTATGTACTTTTCTATTTTTATATACCAATAAAAAGTAATAAAAAAGCCCAGCGGCGTGGCTCAGTGGTTGAGCATCAACCTATGAACCAGGTTCACGGTTAGATTTCTGGTCAGGGCACATGCCAGAGTTGTACGCTCGATCCCCAGTAGGGGATGTGCATCATTGATGTTTTTCTCTCTCTCCCCCCTCCCTATGTCTCTGAAATCAATAAAATATATAGATTTTTAAAAGTATTAAGAAATATATAGAACTACAGATAGCATTTGCATTATAGGAAAAAATGTTTCTTATCAAATTAAAAGGTAGATCTAAAAGTTAAGCAAGCATTAAAAGGAAAAAAATAATTTTACAAACTTTACAAAACCTGAAAGCATTGACCCTATATTTATTTCTCACATAAAAATATGTCATTACTAACCTGGAGGACAAACCAGCTGGGGCATGTCCATGTTTTGTGTTGGATTCATAGGCTGCGCAGATACAATGGCAGGATCAAGTGTCTGATTTTCAAAATCCAACATTGAATCCTACAAGGGAGAATACAATGGAATTAAGATAAATAATGTAAGCACTTAGGTACTCTGTTAGTGTTTCATTAAACTGCACATACCTGTATGAAATTATAAGGCCCCTGCATTTGTGCCATAAGGTCCTGTACTCGCTGTCTTCTCACAAGGGGATCTGCCTGAGCCACGGGTGTCAAAGAGTGGGGCTCTGGTACTGAAGGAGACACAGCCTGAGGTTGCTGCTGGAGCGAATTTACCACCTAAAGGGAGAAGGGGAGGGGAGTGGATTGGCAGAATGAAAGCGCTCCATTCATTACCATCAGGACAGATCCCCAAACTACATACGCTATCTATACTGTAAACAGAATAGATTTTAATGTAGTTATTCAAACTGATCACAATTATGTCAAATTTAACATTCTGATCAATATTAAAATTCTAATGTGCTGCCATTCCACATGATTACCATGTAGCATTTCACAATTACTTTATAGACTGGTTTCAAAGAAAGACTACCAGTTATTTATTTCCTAAAAGAATGCCTTTTGTGTAAACTGCTAAGCCTTCTATATTAAGTAAACCTATATACCTATATTAAATACATATCTCAGTATCCAATGTGTAGTCCGCACTTAAAAAATGTTAGCTATTATTATCAAGCTTTGAGTTCCCACCGTTCCATCCTCTCAACCAATATTACAGGTCAAGGTCCATCAATTCACTTAAACTGCTACAAAAGCCAAACCTCACTTTCCCTCTGTGTCCTTTTCCTAGCTCTAATAATTTCTCCTGGTTATCATTTTTAATAGTTCCCTGCTCTGCTGGAAAAAAATCACTGAACTTTATTACATCAAATGTATATTCTGCCTGGCCAGGTGGCTCATGCACCAAAGGGCTGCAGGTTTGATTCCCCGCCAGGACACTTATGAGAAGCAACTGATTAACGTTTCTCTCTCACATCAGTGTTTCTCTCTTTCTTTCTTTTTCTTTCTCTCTCTCCCTCTCTTAAAAAATAAATCAATTAACATATCCTCAGGTGAGGATTACGAATTTTTATATATTCTTCTGTTTGACTTTTTAAGCCAGGGGAAGTCATACCTGTTAAGCCTGAGCAAGTCATAATCTTCCTTTATAAGGAATATTGAGATAATAGAACCTGGTAACCAAACAGCCTTAAGGTGAAGGAGAGGAGGAGTCTAAGATGACATTTCAATATAGCCCCTGTGAGTAGGATTTTTCTAAAGGTTACCCATGTGGGAACCCAGGTTTTTATAGAGCAACCTAATAACAAATCACATACTTTAATACACTAACCTTGCCCTACCGGTTTGGCTCAGTGGATAGAGCGTCGGCCTGCGGACTGATAGGTCCCAGGTTCGATTCCGGTCAAGGGCATGTACCTGGGTTGCAGTCACATCCCCAGTTGGGGGTGTGCAGGAGGCAGCTGATCGATGTTTCTCTCTCATCGATGTTTCTAACTCTTTATCCCTTTCCCTTCCTCTCTGTGAAAAATCAAAATATATTTTAAAAAAAAAATACACTAACCTTAAGTTATACATGGTTATAATTTTTTGAAACTGGATCAGCATCAGTGATTCTATTAAACTTCAACAGGGATAAACAAATCACCTTTTAAACCTAACAGTCTTGTGTAAAGAGTTTATTACAATAAATGTACTAAGACTAACAATCTTAATTTGCTCTTAGGAGACATAAAAATTAATCAATCTTGTAACAGAACTCTTACCTCGACTGTTTCAACTGTCCACTCATCTACCTGTTCCTTTTCACCACTGCTGAACTGTGTTTCGGCCATAAATTGTCTATTTACATACTGCAAAGCAAAATAAATGTTTGAGACCTCTGTTTGAAAGGCAGAAAGGGAAAACCAGCATTATATAAAAATCATACCTCTGTGGATTCAACTTCACTTGGTTCAGTGTATTCCTCTGCTGGCTCAGGTTCTAAAGATACAAAAGAGTATAAGGAACCTTTTTAACAGTTTACCATCACTTACTCTGAATTTATTTATAAACTTATAGTTAACAATAAGTTTCTATACTTTATCATTCTTACAATAATGTATTTAGAAAGAACTTTCTTTACTATTTATTCCAGAAAAAATTATTTCAGTTTTAATAAATTACTTCAGTTTCAGTTTTACTTCTGGGTCAGGTATAATGTCAATTAAGAGCTACTATGTTAAAACTTCCTCCTGTTCTTAGAATTCATGTTATAAAGCAGCATACAGATTATGGTGGTGGCAAAGGAAAGTAAAACCCGGACTGTAAACTAAACCTCATTCCCCCTCACTACTCACCAGCTTCAGCGACCTGGTCTTCAACAGCGGGTGCTGAGGCTGCCTCTTCCTCCTCACATAGCCCGTTCTGGTGGTTGTGGGTGCTATCAAAGTAGTTTGACTGGAAAACACGCTCGACAATTTCCTTTAGAGCTTTATCTAAAATTAGATTATTATAATGTTAAGACTATTTGAGGTTGCCTGACTTGAAGATTCAACATCCTACAAAATACTGTAAGAAAAAAACCTCACCGTTACTAAAACATATAAAAACATTAAATTCCATCAAGAACAGAAATTTAGTATAGGACAGGGAACAAAAGCTCATATTTGTATTAAACTTCATGGATTTTGTGTTAGTTTTTTAAATAGCTGATAATTGTCATTTATTCATTCAATATAGCATCTAATTGATTTTAGTCAACATGCTAGGCACTGGGGCTAGAAAAAGATATGTAAAAAAGATACCGTATCTGCCCTCCCTAACTTTACAGCCCAATAAAGAAGAGTTATCAAATACTCACAAAAAAACAGTCAAATTACATCTGTGAAAAGTACTACACAGAAGTACAATGGATTGGACCTACTCAGAGAGACCACCAGAGGCTTTCCTGGTATAGGTGCTGGAAGAGCTGAGATCTGGAAGATGAGTAGTAGAGAAGTGTTTCAAGGCAGAAGCAACAGCTTTTACAAAGCCCTGTACAAAGAAGAAGCGTGCCAAATACAAAAAAAAAAAAAAAATGCAAGTATGCACTGTGGCTGAACCACAGGGAGTAAGAAAAAGCTCAAGAAACTTTGAGTCTAGAGAGACTGGTAAGGGCCCTATGATGCAAGGTCTTGAAATAAATGTATATAAAATGTAATTAAAATAAAGCCAGTATAAGATTTTAATGAGGCATAGGGGGTGGGTTCAGTTAGAAGACTGCATTAGGTAAGAGAAAGGCAGGAAAGTAGAAGAGAAAGAGAAGTAGACAGATTCAAGATATTTAAAAGGCTAAATTGTCAGAATTTGGTACACTAGGCCAGTGGTCGGCAAACTGCGGCTCGCGAGCCACATGCGGCTCTGTGGCCCCTTGAGTGTGGCTCTTTCTAAGCCTTAGGAGTACCCTAATTAAGTTAATAACAATGTACCTACCTAAATAGTTTAAGTTTAAAAAATTTGGCTCTGTTGACTAATGAGTTTGCCGAGCACTGCACTAGGCTATAAGGAGGGCAGGAAAGCAGGCAAAGGTGTGGGTCAAGAATTAAAAGCTCAATTTCCTGGCCTTATATAGCAAATGTAGAGTAAGGCTATTCCTTCATAGGTCACACACCACAAAAATAAAGCTTCAGGGACCATATTATATCAAATTTTATAATAAAATTAATCCTATTAACAATAAAATTATTAACAACATGAACACTTCATGTTTTCCGTTCTCTACATTTCAAAGATTCATGACTCAGAACTATTTATTTAAAAAAAAAATGCATGAAAACTGAATGCATATAAAAACACTAATGCCCTGGCTGGGCAGTTCAGTTGGTTGGAGTGTCTTCCTGTACACCAAAAGACTGTAGGTTCGGTTCCTGGTCAGGGCACATACACAGGCTGAAGGTTCAACAACCCTGGCTCACACTGATTTTTTTTCCCCCCTCTCCCTTGCTAAGAAGAAAAAAATATATATCAATAAAAAACATATCCTCAAGTGAGGATTAAAAAAACAGCCCTAACTGGTTTGGCTCAGTAGATAGAGCATCAACCCACTGACTGAAGGGTCCCGGGTTCAATTCCAGTCAAGGGCATGTACCTCGGTTGCAGGCTTAATCCCCCCGTCACAGTCAGGGCAAGTTCGGGAGGCAACCATTGTGTCTCTCTCAACTCAATGTTTCTCTCTCTGCCTCTCCCCCTCCTTTTCCGCTCTCTCTAAAATAATCAATGGAAAAAATAAAATAAAATAATCAATGGAAAAATATCATTGGGTGAGAATTAACAACAAAAAAATTTTTAAAAACACCCTAATATTGAGTACATTAATAACTTTCTTTTAGCCATAAAGATGTGACATTCTTAAGATGCAAGAGCAAGACTAGGCAGAAACTAACACCAAAACAAGCTACAAGGTTAGATGCTTAACGCTTTCATTCCTCAATAATGTTCATGAAAATTTGATCAACCTTTACCTAAAACTACTTTTTTAAGCTAACAAGCTTATGCACATATATCAGTTTCCAAACTTCAAGTGGTAAATTTAGTACATACTTATAGCAGAAATAAAATAAAAAAATCTAAAAATATGTTTTACAAAGAAATAGATAACACAAGTTAACCAAAAAAAATATTTTACATGAAATGATATAAAAGAATCCTTGATTCCTCATATATGATTTTACACATTTCCTGTACACACCAAGTTGTATCATATTGTTTTGCCAATTAAAACTTAAAATCCAATTTAATTTCTTTTCAACCCAATAGCTAAAAACAAGGTATAAACATTACCTTGATAGGTTCAAATATCTATTTGGCTAAATCAACTTCATAAACAATCAACATAAGGAGCTATATCCTGATTTACTACGTAGTTAAAAACCTAAAATTCCTCCTAATTAACTTAGTGAAACTTAAATGTCCTTTAAAAAAAATAAACATATAATTGCATATTTCAGGTTAAGGAGATCACATATAGAAAACTGGACTAGATATCAATACCTTTTTTAAAAGAGAAAAAAAATGAATGTCCCCAAGTTAGCAAAAGTCTAAGAAAAATTAAAGAGAGACTAAGACAATGACCATACGGGGTGCAGTACATGTTTTTCACAAAATTTCAGCTACAAGGAAAAACCAGTCCCCAACTAATAACCAAAAACTGGAAAGTCAATTTGGTGTTTATCTGTTCACCTCAAGCAGAGTTAAGTTATTTATAAACAAACCCACATTAAGTTAGGGCTCCCATCATTATAGATTTTTGGTTGGTTGTTAGTGTTTTGACCTATAGGCATGCACGCACACGCACATTCATACACACACAAAATACACAAAATGAAAAAAGTAAACAGCAGATATTATTTATATAGTTCTAAAATTTCTTCAATTAACACTAGTCTTAAGTAGGAAACTAATTTTTAAAGATTCTTAGTTATAAAATCCCTAGAGACCCGATGCACAAAATTCGTGCAAGGAGCTCGACCCTCGCAGCCCTGGCTTCATCCAGGAGGTCATTCGGCTGTTGGTCTAATTAGCATATTACACTTTTATTGTTATAGAAGATAAAGTGTCAGCAATACTCACAGGTTGTTCCACATACAGATTTTTCTTTGCCTTCCAGCAAGTCCCACAGATGAATGGAGGCATGTTCATACTGTTCATTCAACCTTATAATAATAAATAGCTAATTAATTACCTTTCAATTGTCAATTTAAAATAACATTTAGAAACTTCTATCAAATACCACCATACCTCAAGCTCATGTCCCGTTCAGGGTCTGCTAACTTGTAGAATTCATCCAACAATGACAATTCCTCCTCAGATAGTATTGGCACACCATTCAAACCCTGTTTCAGGTCAGTTCGCACTTCTTCATCTCCCAATTTGTCCAAAACATACTGCAGCTCAAGTACGGTTTTTAAACGTTTTTGTTCAGCTTCTTCTCTCATAAGTTGCTCCCGTCGTGCTGTTTTCTTTATTGTTTTCTGAATCTGCATAGGAATATAAACGTTAAGACATCAAAAGAAGTTTTCTTGAAGACTCTTTTAATTCAATCCATTTCAGGTCCAATGTAAATAAGACGTATTTCACTCAATGAGTTAAATGTGACCCCATCTAACAAAGAGAGTTTAATACATGATCTACTTTAAGCAGTTGTTAGAATTTCAGAACACATCTTTTATATTACTGAAGGTATTATGCTACTGAAATGTTACCAATAAAATGATATATTTGGAAGTTGCTTCATAATAATCCAGCAAACAGGGAGTAGGGAAGTAGGTGTGCGTATACTGTACCAAACATAATTGCCCATGAAATGATAAGTGTAGAAGATAGATATGGTCCATAGAGTTTCATTATATTCTTTAGTTTTGAAATTTCCCATAATAAAAAGAATGATTAAGATTTTTAATTTAGGCCCTGAGTCGATTAAAAGAGAACCCCAACCACCACAACAAAACATCTTAACTATATATATATATATTCTCTATGGAAAAATGGTCCAAAGTTCTAAGTACCTATTACTGATTCATAAAGAAGCGTCAACACTCACCACTGTTACCTCAACCCAAAGAATCCCCTGCTGGTAAAGGCATTCCAACACTTGAAAATAGTAACTAAAACTGACTTGTTTTTATGAGTAATCAGATACTAGCAGAGAGAAAGAAAATGGCAGAAAAAGACCGATAAAAGCTAAATATGAATGTATTCTTCCCACTGTTTTCTCTCCACTACACTCTTTTTCTTTTCTGGCACGGTTGAAGGGAGAGCATCGATCAAACTCAAATATTTCTCTTTTCTCATTCATCACATCAGTGTGTGATCAAAGAAAAGTGCATCTTTCCAAGAGCCACGACATTGTTTTCCTTCCCACACTCTCCCTTTCTTGAGACTCACTCAGATAACTGGAAACAGAGGACCAAAATAAGGACATAGAAAACATATAATAAAGGGAGAAATAGGGAAGACCTGGAAGGAATAATGAAGGTTGCAGTAAGTCAAATTTATAATGGCAGCAGAGAGGATAGTAGATTAAATGGTATCTTAGCAATATTGGCAAAAAAAAATTATATATATATATATATATATATATATATATATATATATATATATAAAAGGCTAATATGCAAAGTGTCCCTTCAGGAGTTCAACTGGGAGACCGGGAGTTTGATCACTTGCTATGACGTGTGTTGACCACCAGGGGGGCGGCGCAGAACAAAGGAAGGCCCAGGCTGGCAGCTGGCAGCTGGCAGCCGGAGAAAGAAGGCCCCAGTCAGCAGCCAAAAGGCCGCGATCAGCCCTGATCGCCGGCCAGGCCTAGGGACCCTAACCATGCACCAATTTTGTGCACCGGGCCTGTAGTAGTATATATGAATGGAAAGATGAGATTTCTTAACATAGGGTGAACAAGGAGAAAAAGGACCACCTACTCCAAAGATGGAAGACCTTTCAATCATATTGGGGAGTATGCTTTTAGGGTAAAGAGGTCTGTATAGGTAGCCAGAGACAGTAAACATTATAGGAAGACAGGGAGGAATATGAAGTGAAGTCAAGAAAGCAAAAAATAAATAAATAAGTCAGTCACATTAGATGAAGTGAGAAGCTCAAGTAGGGAAGAATATGAAAATTAGAACAAGTGGGCTGGACTAGGTTTTAAAAAGCTCTTGAATGCCAAACAAGAAAAGTGTTCAATAATTGTGGCAAATACAACCTAAGGATGGCCAGTAAAGTTAAAGGCCTAGTGAAAAGTTGCTAAAAACACCAGTGTTAAAATAAAAGCAAAGGAGGACACAAGTATTTTCATTTGCATAGTGATAGTAGCTTCAGAAATAGATATTTATTAAATTGTATAGTATCAGAAAAAGAAGTTGGGCAGAGTTCATGGTTCATCAAGACTGAGGCTGTGACCTAAGCTAAGGGGAACAAATCCCTACTTGAATGTAAATTAAATTTCCTTCAGTTCTGAAAGATATCATCAAACTTTAATTGAATTTAATAAGTAAGAATATTAAGTACATGAAATACATTAGTTTTGCGTGAAATTTATTAGTTATGCATCAAATATTATTCTAAGCACAACCTTCGGATGAGGTAGGTAGTAGTATTATAACTGCCATTTTATAGATTAGAAAACAGAAGCAGAGTGATAGTCTTTTCCCTCTCCTCCCCCTTGTCTCATTCTTCTCTTTTTATCCTACTGGTTCTGTTTCTCTGGAAAATCCAGACTGATCAAAGAATAGAGAAATTAAGTAACCCATTCCAAATCATACAATTATTAAATAAAAATGGCAGGATCAGTAGTCAAACCAGTCTGGTTCCAGAATCAGAACTCATAATCTTTGTACTGTACTGCCTCTCATCCTATCTATACTAATAATAGAGGAATATGCCAATTGTCCAGGACACCATCACAGTAGTAGTAACGACCAAACAGCAGGCTGCGTGGGGCGAGAAGGCCGGCAGGGGGGTTAGTGAGGGATGACCAAATGACTGAACAGCAGGCTGTGTGGGGCAACCACGCCAGCGGGGGGCCAGTTCGGGGTGACCAGGCTAGCAGGCAGAGGCAGTTAGGGATGGTCAGGCTGGCAGGGGGGGCAGTTAGGGGTGATCAGGCAGGCAGGCAGGTGAGCAGTTAGGAGCCAGCAGTCCCGGATTGGAGAGGGTGCAGGCTGGGCTGACGGGTATTGTCCCCCGCAACCCCCACCCCCCGTGCACAAATTGCATGCACCGGGCCTTTGGTCCTATTATAATAAAAGGGTAATATGCAAATGGGCCAAACGGCAAAATGACTGGTCACTATGACATACACTGACCACCAGGGGTCAGACACTCAACACAGGAGCTGCCCCCTGGTGGTCAGTGCACTCAGCCAGAAGCCAGGCTCATAGCTGGCAAGCACAGTGGCAGCAGCTGGACATTCCCCGAGGGCTTCCGGACTGCGAGAGGGTGCAGACCGGGCTGAGGGACAACCCCCACGTGCCCAAATCTCATGCACTGGGCCTCTAGTCACATAATAAATTGTTTATTCATTTCATCAAATTAGGGACAACTTTATATTCTAACACTGTTAGCCTTTGTCCAAATAAGTTAACACTAACTCAGAAAGATTAATTTTCTGGTCTCAACTCTGAACACATTACTTGACTTTGTATTTCATTTTTGTCCTGTTCCTAAAGGCTTTTATCGTATCAAAAGATGTTTGGGGGAAAACACTCCATTTTGTTAGATCAAGAGCAATGTATCAGTCTGCCACATTCCTTAAGATCTCTAATGGGAAAAATAGTTACCAACTATATAAACAAGCCCATTTTCTGATACTTAAGGAACTTGTAAGATGGTCATTGCACATGAAGGAATATATAAAATAAATCCCTACCATGCTTATATATTTTTTAAACCAATGAAAACCTTAGGGTAACTATTACACAAGTTTGTCATATCTGAAAGTCAGTCCTTTTAAAAAGGCATCTACTACCTTTCATGTGGTAAACTTTACAAAACTGGAAAGCATCTTAGATATAATTGGATCCAACCTTTTCACTTTGAAGAGCTTATCAATAGTAATGACAAAGACTAAAAACAGAGAAACAACAAAATTTTCTGCCTTCCATATTTTTAGTATTTCATACACATATACCACCTTTTACTTACATCTTGACTTAATGCCATGAAACTCCTCTGTAATTCTTTTGCAAACTCCAAGTTATTTGTGACTTCCTGGTACTTAGATACAGCATCCTAAAATAACAAAGACAAAACACAACTTTACTGGAAACACAAACACAAAATTAATTTTGTTGTTAACAATATTGGACACATAATCTTAAATAAAATGTAGCATCTTTACCAACTGATCTTGATTAAGCCGTTCCCCTTTGTTCATTCGCTCCTGGTAATCATCAAGCTTGCCCTGTATTAAAAAAAAAAAAAAAAAAAGTATATTCCATATTGGAAGTATATACTAGCTTAAAATAACAAAACCCACATAATCCTAAGTCTGTCTCAAATCTTGCCCTAAATATGCTTTTTCGATATATTCCAGTTTGAATTAGTACATAAAATAAGTGAGCTAAAAATGAATAGAAATACTCCAGCCACTGCTAAATGGTATCAAATATTATATCATAAGCCATTGACAACATTTATTCTTTAGGTTTCTAAAAAGAAAAAAAAAAAGTATAGATCAGACGACCCAGACACATGGTTCCTCCAGCCCACATGGGTGAGGGCCACAATTTGCTTAGGAACCACTTATACCCAAGTGAGCCTATCAGATATTTTATAAGTGTTAAAATTTTTTGTCCCTCCCTCCCCCTGCCAAAGAATTTACATAAGTAATATAAAAAGAATTCACAAGTAATATAAAGTTGTATTTTTCTGAATAGACCCGTGTACATATTATTGTCAATGTGCCTCATCCATTTTCCTTAAAAACATCAGATACTTCAAGTTATCATCATATCATCTGTGGGCAGTACACTAGTCAGCAGCTTTCCTTTGTCATTTTCTCAAAAAATGGAATTAAATGTGCGGGAGTGGGGGCAGAAAATTAACCCCTGGTCATCTTTTTTTTTCTTTTTTTGCTAAGATGAAAACTCTGGAGGTTTCCCAGGCTACTACTATTAGTAAAAATCCCAAGGAAAAGATACTCAAGTAATGTAGCCTAGTCAAGAATTCAATTATTGTTTTATGGGTGAAAAGAGAAAATACCATAACCATTTTACCCCAAATTAAAAAGCCTACCACAATTTGTTAGTTTTACTGGAGGTAAATAAAACCAAGATGATCATCAAAACTTAAAGGAAGATGAAAGTGTCTAATTTTATTCTTTTATGGACTATTTTATTTCACATAGTCAATAAGCCTCCAGATAAAAAGGTATAAAATCAAGTTTATTAGGTGAAAAATCAAGTTTTTTTACACTGATCTGACAAGCCTAACCCCAGGTGCAAAAGATATGCTCAGCTACCTCAAAATACTCTAAAAACAATTCAAAATAATATAATTTAAATAAAAATTTTAAAATTCTCCCCCTTCATCTAGATTTCTACTTATTCCCTCTCCTCTGACCCTGAACCATATTTTTTCGTTTTTAAAAGGGTAGGCTACTTTTAAGAAATAAAAAACTAAGCTAGTTAAGATTTGCTTTTAATTTCAACTTAGGATGTAACAGTATTAAAATCAGAATTCTTCTATTTAAAAATATATGGATAATATAACATATGCCCATAGACGGAGTCCCTGAAATTTAGTACAAGTACACAGTTAAAATACGAGGGAGAAGGAAAACTGTTACCTGGCATTTATTATCTTCCCTTTTTATGGTATTATACATTTTTCATGGAAATTGTTGCTGAATCTAGAAAATAATTCACACTGAGTGTACTCTATATCCCTCATAGGGTAGAGTTTTATATAGCTAAGCTTAACTTTATCATTGAACTAGGAGCCCAGTGCACAGATTCATGCACATTGAAAAAAATTAATTAGAAGATTCATGTGATAATTACGTTACTGCAAAAAATTACATGTCAAAACAGTATATATAATATAGTATTATAAAATTAAAACACGCATACGATTAGCGCCAGCCAGAGCTTTCTATGTATTGCGCATGCACGTGTCAACGTTTATTTTTAAACTGCCAGTGCACATCGTATGTACCGGCCGGTCAGTGGGTGGGTGGGTCACTTAGCCTTTTCTATAATAATAAGTGTAATATGCTAATTAGACTGGACGGCCAGACGACCTTCTTTTTTTTTTTTTAAATATATTTTATTGATTTTTTTACAGAGAGGAAGGGAGAGGGATAGAGAGTTAGAAACATCGATGAGAGAGAAACATCGATCAGCTGCCTCCTGCACACCCCCTACTGGGAATGTGCCCGCAACCAAGGTACATGCCCTTGACCGGAATCGAACCTGGGACCCTTGCGTCCACAGGCCGACGCTCTATCCCCTGAGCCAAACCAGTCAGGCTGGACAACCTTCTTGACGAAGCCAGGACTGTGAAGGCCACGGCTACAAGGGCCAAGCCCCTTGCACGAATTTCGTGCATCAGGCCTGTAGTATATATATAGATGTTTTGAGAACTTCAAACATGTATGCCAATCAAAATAGATGTCAAATCAAACTCCTAAAAAAAAAAAATACTTATCCTATATAATAAAAGCCTAATATGCAAATTGTTCAACCTGGAGTTTGACCACTCGCTATGACATGCGCTGACCACCATGGGGCAGCACGGAACATGGCAGGTGTCGGCAATGTGGCGCTGGCAGCAGGCAGCAGTGGAGGCGCTGCCGGCCCCAATGGGCCCCAACGAGAACAGGACCACAGCAGGATGGTGGAACAGGTGAGCGGGCGGAGCCAAACCAAGGCAGGTGCAAGTGGGGGCCCTATCGCCCCAAGACAGCAACCAGCGGCAGCGTGAGAGGGAGGGGACGGGGCCGCCACCCGGCTGCCTGGTGCTGAGGGAGCTGGGCAGGGGGCCCAGCTCTGGTCAATCTCCCCGCAGGCGGGATGGTGGAGCAGGTAAGGGGGCAGCACCAGGCCAAGGTGGGGTGCCAGGCAGGGCTGTGGGGCTGGGGGCACGAGCTGGGGCCTGATCCCCACAGGCCACCCTATGTGACCCCATCTGTGCATGAATTTGTGCACCGGGCCTCTAGTATATATATATAAAAACAAATATGATACCTGAATGATAGAATTGTAAGTAGAACTACTTTACTTTTCCTTGTTTTGTATACTTAGATATTCTGCAACGAACATATAATTTGTATTATAAAATTTTAATTTCATGCTACATAAAATATGTTAAGATTGACACATTTCAGGATAGTGTCAAGACTTACACCTATAAAAATTCTTAAATATGAATCTATACTAACCTCTAGTAGGACAAGCTATCCTGTGATAGAAAAGCTCCAATTTTCTACATAATAATGTTAATATTCATCCAATCCAGAGGTCTGTGGCAGATTCCATTTTCCAAAGATGGCTACCATATCTGCAGTCCCACATACTTTCCTACAATGTGATGTTGGCACCACCCCATTAAGAACTAGTCCAATTCTCCTGTCATTGAATTGAGTGGGCTTCAAACAAAACAGTACAGTAAAAGTGATCCTGTATGACTTCCAAGACTGAGATATAAAAGCAGTGTTTCTTTGCTGGTCACTAAAAACACTCATGTTTAGAGCCCAAGTTATTATATAAGTTCAATAAGCCTGAGGTTGCCATACTATGAAGAAGCCAAGCCATGAAGAGAGGTCTTGTACAAGAATCTGGTCAACAATGCTAGTGTTAGGAGTCATCCTAGACCAGGCATCAGACATGTGAGTAAACAAGCCTTAGTTCCCCAGTTGAGAACCCAGCCATCATGGAGAAGATACCAACCCCAGTGTGTCTGAATCACTGAAAGGCAGAATCCAGATGCATGATATAATGATGTTAAGTTTTAAAGCAATCTCTCATACAGCAGTAACTGGGAACAAGGTTAAAAAGGAAATGAAAAGCAGTTTACTATGTGAAACTCAAGCTTCGACGTAAATCTTCATGGAATACCATCATTAGAAAAGTATGTAAAAAGACCTCTGTGCAGCCAAATAAAGATCTATGATTCTATTAAAGCTCATACATCAACTTATTGTGATTTTATGTTACTGTACCATGTTTCTAGTTTTTTCATTATAATTTACTTTTTAATTGATTTTATTTTGTCAATCCTCACCCAAGGATAGTTTTCCAATTGATTTTCTTAGGGAGGGAGGGAGGGACATTGATGTGAGAGAAACATGATGTGACAGATTGGTCGCCTCCGGCATGCACCCTGACTGGGGCCCGGGATCCAACCTGCAACCCAGGTACGTGCCCTTGACTAGGAATGAAGCATGGGCCAATGCTCTAAACCCTGAGTCAAACCGACCAGGGCATTTCATAATTTAAAACCCAGTGTGGCTCAGTGGTTGAGTGTCAACCCATGAACCAGGAGGTCACGGTTCAATTCCCAGTTGGGGCACATGCCTGGGTTGTGAACTCGAACCCCAGTAGGTGGCATTAGACCAATGGGTTAACTACTCATATCATCCACATAAAATATATATTAAGCATTTTTTTTTTTTTTTGGAGAAGGGCTGTTTTCCTAGCATAAAGAGATAACTTCATCAGAAAGACTACCATAATACTGATAATCAAAACCTGCCCTCTTAGATTCTGTCTTAACCATTTGCGTGCCAACCAATATCCTAGGAACTATGCTAAAATTGCCAAGGCATTTTTGCTGATTTTATAGCAGTTTAGGAAAAAAATTATGAATCGCAAGTAAATGAAGTTACATATTCAAAAACTTAAGGAAACCTTTACTACATTTGTTTTCATCTCTGACATATATTGTTTGCTGATTGTATTATAAAATACTAGAAGAAAAAAAAATTGAACAAGACATATAATGTTAAAATAGAGGGACACCCTTCTCCAATATCTTCCACAAAATTGTCATCTTCACAGCAAGAATTGACATATTTAGCAATATCATCATCACTAATAAAAGCAGACTTAGAACTGGATGCCATTTTGAAGATTTAGGGCTACAACATCTGAGTAAACTTCATAAAATCGTAGTATCTGTAAAAAATTAGGCAGATAAATGCCAGTGGTCAATTTTAGAACTACAAACATTCGGCATCATAAGTAATCTGCACTTAGGTGCCATCTGTCAATAAAGAGTGAACTACTAGCATCTAATAGTGACACTGCAGGAGGAGCGCAATAGTGCTCCCCGCACTTTTGGCGAAAGACAGGAGTGCAATCGCGCTCCCCAGCACTCTAGGGGTGAAAATTCAACTTACGGTTCCTTTTTCAACTACTTAGTGTCCAGAATGTATTAAAAATTCATTTACACCACCACATG